GATGACGTCTGCAGCATGGGTCGCGCTGCGCTGGCGCCGGTGACGGCGAGGAGCGCGAGGAGGGCAAGAGGCAACAGCTGGCGAGCTGCGAGCAGCCACGATTTAGCGGCCATTGCGAAGCTGGCTTGATTCGATGAAATATAGATTGGCTGAGAAGACTAGTTCTTAGGACGTCTCAAGAAGAGCGGAATATGAAAAGAAGTTCAACAGGCCGTGCGCTAATTGGTGTGTCAGATCTGACAGAATGAGGGAAACGCTGATCGATACTGATCGACGCTGATGGATACTGATTGTTATACGAGAAGATGTTGCTGAGGCTGTGATGACATTGGAGATCTCGGATGTCTAATTTGTAGACTTTCCTACTCGAGCATAAACGGCAAGGCCGTTCAAGAATCGCTGGAGCCGCCATGCTCAACGTTCTGCGCTTCGGACTCAGCCGCGAGCGTCACGCGTGGACTTCCTGCCGTATGCGGAAGGTCCTGACGGGAGAGGTAAGCGAGGTCCGACGACAGTTGGACTGCGCTGATAGCACACGAGGAGCAGAATGCAGGAGCAGAGTAGGCCGTTCCTGTTTCTGTTCCTGTATCCTCGTGAATCGCTAGCACTAGACCCGATAGAAGAACGAATATGATGGAAGGTTTGGGCGTGGCGTGGGGTGGAAGGGGAAGGGGGCAGTTGCCATTTCGTCCGCTGGCCGTCATTGACCACGGCCAGCCGTCAAGTGAGATGAGAAATACTTTTGCGAAAATATTTTGGGAGTCCGCGAAATCCCTGACAACAAGTGCCATGCGATCGGGCTGAAATTGGCGAAACTGTCACCGCTTTGTGTGTGTGCGATCGTGACATGCAATTCGGTTCGTCTCGTCCTAGAATTTGGGGGAGCGCCTTTCAGCTCTGTCATGGAAAGGCGATGCTAGTCACGCTGTGCGTCAGGGCGTGCTCGAATGCGGTTGGGTGCGGTGGGTTCAGGGTTCAGGCGTGTCTTAAGAGTACCGTGTTATGATTTAGGAAGTGTCAATGAACTATAATGAGAATATACAAGGTCGCTATTGCAATGAAAGGCACGAGGTTATCTAGGGGTTGGCGTACTAGGGCGATAACCTCGGAACGTGGGTAGTTTCGGCAATGTGGCGACAGTGCCGGACGCGACCCGGGAAAGGGTTGGGCCGACAATTCTGGCTGAACGTGACGAGTCGAGGAATTCGGGTGTACGCGCTAGCGTACGACTCAGTAAGGAATGGAAATTCCTTCCACTACCTCCCCCCCCCCCCCCTCCTAAACGAGGCCGTGGGCATCGGAAACATTCCGACGTCGATAATACGCTGTTAGAATCGGATGTAATTCTAGCTCAGCGAGAGGTACCCAGCTTTCATCTTCTGACGGCGATCGCGCCATCTGACGAGAAACTCAACCATCCGATGGTTCAGCTGCGTCGTGACTCGGTGGCCGAGAATTTTCAAGGGCTCCGTCGTCGGTTCCTGCAGTGGCGTCAGCTGTGGCACACTGTGTTGGCGTGCCAGCTCCGTCGAACTGGGGACATATGGCCGTAGGAGGCTGACGTGGAAAGCCAGGTGGTGACGCCAGTTAGCCGGGAGTCGGAGGTGAGCCCTGACTGGTGTCACCATGTTGGTCACTTGAAAAGGGCCACAAAATCGGGTTGGAGTTTGCTCGGGATCGGCAGCCGCAAATTGCTTGTGTCAGGCAGGACGAGATCCCCACTTTGTAAGTGATGCACGTCGATGACGATCGGCCTGTCGGCTTGTGATCAGGTCGGCTTTTCGTATTGCCTCAGCTGCCTTTTCTCGGGCTGCGAGTATGTCTTCGGCAAATTTTTGGGACCGGGGCACGGGTGTCTTGATATTCGGTGTAGAGGGTACCACTGGGTCCTGTCCGTAGTTGAGGAAAAACGGGGATTGATGGGTTGTGGGACGCCAGCGACTAGGCAGTGGGAGCAGTCTTGATGCAAGACCAGGGGAATGGACTGCAACCAATCACCTACCTCACCAAGAAACTACACGGGGCAGAACTCAACTACCCGATACACGACAAGGAGGCCCTTGCTATCATCATCGCCTTCAAAACGTGGAGATGCTATCTCGAATGACGCAAGACGACAGTCTACACCGACCATTGCAGCCTAAAATATTTGAAGACGCAACCAAGCCTTTCCAGGCAACAAGTTCGGTGGATCGACTTCCTCGAGACACACTTCCCACTACGACATCGTGTACAAGCCTGGCCATAAAAAGAAAGCCGATGCGCTTAGCCGGCCTGCACACGTTGCCCCTATCCAAGTTGAAGGGATGAATCCACTCCTCAAGGGACTCTTCACACACGGGAACACCATCGACTCTGAAATTCCCTTGGCAGAGAAGCGACATCTGCTACTGTGGGACAACGACATCGCGTACCGGAAAGGATCAAGGTAGATTTGGGAACCTAATTACCCTCCATTGCGCCAGTTACTACTCGAAGAATACCACGACGTCCTGTACGCGGGACACTTTGGTAGCAACAAGACGCTCACCGGTGTTGCCAAACACTACTACTGGCCCCACATGGCAGATGACGTGCAGAAATTCGTCACCTCGTGCACTACATGTCAGCGGATGAAGAGCAGCAAGCAGAAAAAATGTGGGTCTACTACAGCCTCTTCCTGTCCCAGAACAGCCATGGCAAGTGGTCAGCCTAGACTTCATTACCGGGCTACCAACTACCACAAGCGTCACGACGCGATCCTCGTCGTCATTGACAAGTTCTCAAAAATGGGACACTTCATCCCGACACACACGACAGCACGCACCGAGGAGACGGCACAACTCTTTGTTCGCTACATCATCTCACAAGAGGCATTCCGACCACACTCATCTCCGACCGAGACCCTAAGTTCACCAGTAAATTCTGGAAAGAACTGATGTCTCTGCTCGGGACCAAACTCGCCATGTCATCCACTTACCATCCGCAGACAGACGGACAGACCGAGCGCCTCAACCAGGTTGTCGAGCAACTCCTCCGAGCAGCCTGCAAGGACGAGATCTCCAAATGGGATCTGCACTGTCACAGGATCGAATGTGTCGAGGAAAAGTTGCACTATCGATCAGTACAAGGTGCTTTTATACTTCCAGAGTACATCAGGTAACCAGGTTTATCTTATCCTAGAGGAATAGACCCTTCTAGAATATAGAATCACCCTGCGTATAGCCACGCGAGGCTATTGGCTTTAAGGGATTACGGCAGGATTACGCTAGATAGCGTGTCTAGAACATTCCATGCCTGGTTGGTGATATAATTATAATAAGGGAAGAAACCAAAGGATAATGGAAAATAGAGAATATGAGGCCAAAGGAGATGAGAGAAAAAGAGGAATGAAACGAAGATGAAATATGGAAAAGGCCAAGTGGTGTAACGGGGTCGTACTCTCACACTTCCCCCCTCAAAACTGGGTGGTAGAAGTAACACCCCTGCTTGACAAGGTAGTCATGCAGAGGACGACGGGCGTTACCCATGTCGGACTCAGGTACCCAGCTGTCCTCAGAAGGATCATAACCCTTCCAACGGATAAGAAGCTCCACGGTGCCATTCCGACGACGGCGGTGTGCGAGCACGGACTCGACCTCGTACTCGGGTTCGTTCTGGACGAGGACGGGCGGCGGCGGCGGCGGCTGGCGTCCCACGAAGATCGTGTTAGGATCTCGATAGGGCTTCAGAAGTTGGACATGGAAGGCGTTATGAATCTTCCAGGTAGCTGGCAGGCGTAAGCGGAAGGTAACAGGAGTGACCTGTGCTTCAACGAGAAAAGGCCCGCAGAAGCGAGGTCGAAGTTTAGATGGGAGATGGCTGATGTCCAGGTTGCGGGTGTCGAGAAGCACCTGGTCTCCCACGGAAATGGTGTGGTCGTTGCGATGACGATCGGCCTGGCGCTTCTGTTGCTGTTGAATGTCAAGGAGGCGCTTATGGGTCCGATCCCAAAGCTGATGCATAGTTGTGATGAAGTCGTGTGCAGGTTGGACTGTTGCTGGTGTTGTCGGTTTCTGTGGTGTGAGTGGGTGGCGTCTGTAGCAGAGGAAGAACGGCGTCTGTCCGTAGCGGCGTGTGTAGCGTTGTTGTAGGCGAACTCGAGGACGGGCAGGTGCAAGTCCCATTTGGAGATCTCGTCCTTGCAGGCTGCTCGGAGGAGTTGCTCAACAATCTGGTTGAGGCGCTCGGTCTGTCCGTCTGTCTGCGGATGGTATGCGGATGACATGGCGAGTTTGGTGCCGAGCAGAGACATAAGTTCCTTCCAGAACTTGCTAGTGAACTTGGGGTCTCGGTCGGAGATGAGTGTAGTTGGGATGCCATGCTGTGAGATGATGTGACGAACGAAGAGCTGTGCTGTCTCCTCGGTACGTGCCGTCGTGTGTGTCGGGATGAAGTGTCCCATCTTAGAGAATTTGTCGATGACGACGAGGATCGCGTCATGACCGGTGGTCGTAGGTGGTAACTTGCCATGGTTGTTCTGGGACAGGAAGAGGCTGTAGTAGACCTGATTTCTTCTGCTTGCTGCTCTTCATCCGTTGACATGTATCACACGAGGTGACGAATTTCTGAACGTCGTCTGCCAAGTGGGGCCAGTAGTAGTGCTTTGCGATACCGGTCAGCGTCTTGTTGCCACCGAAGTGTCCGGCGTAGAGGACGTCGTGATATTCTTCGAGTAGTAACTGGCGCAAAGGAGGGTAATTGGGTACCCAGATTTTCGTTGATCCTTTCCGGTACGCAATGTCGTTGTCCCACTGTAACAGATGTCTTTTTTCTGCCAAGGAAATTTCGGGGTCGATGGCGTACCCGTGTGTGAAGAGTCCCTTGAGTAGTGGATTCATCCCTTCGGCCTGAATGGCGGCAACGTGTGCAGGCCGGCTGAGGGCGTCTGCCTTATTCTTGTGGCCGGGCTTGTACACGATGTCGTAGTGGAAGTGCGTCTCGAGGAAGTCAATCCACTGGACCTGCCGCCTGGAAAGGTTGGGTTGTGTCTTCAAATATTTCAGGCTGCAGTGGTCGGTGTAGACGGTTGTTCTGCGTCCTTCGAGATAACATCTCCACACTTTGAAGGCAATGACAATGGTAAGGGCCTCTTTGTCGTGTATCGGGTAGTTGAGTTCTGCCCCGTGCAGTTTCTTGCTGAGGTAGGCGATTGGTTGCAGTCCATTCCCTGGTCTTGCATCAAGACTGCTCCCACAGCCTGATCACTGGCGTCTGCTTCGATGACGTAGTCACGTTCGGGATCTGGCAAGATGAGCACCGGGGCGGATGTCAGTGCCTGTTTCAGCTGCTCCACGGCTTCCTCGTGCTTCTTCTCCCATTTGTAGGGCGTATTCTTCTTCAGCAGATTCGTGAGTGGAGCTGCGAGTTTCGCATACTGTGGCACGAACCTGTTGTAGTAATTAGCGAAGCCTAGGAACTGCTGCAACTCCTTCACGTTCTCGGGTGTCTTCCACGAGCGTACGGCTTCGATTTTTGTGGGGTCGACGTGAACTCCTTGAGCGCTCACCATGTGGCCTAGAAATTGGACCTTCTCCAGGGCGAATTCGCTCTTGGACAGTTTGACGTAGAATCGTTCTCGTCGAAGAATTTCGAAGACGCGTCGCAGGTGTTCGACGTGCTGCTTCATGTCGCGCGAGTAGATGAGAATGTCGTCCAGGTACACCACCACGCACTCGTCCAAAAGTGGGCGTAGAATGTGGTTCATTTCGGCTTGAAATGTTGCCGGCGCGTTGGTGAGTCCGAACGGCATGACCAAATACTCGTACGATCCGTACCGAGTTCGGAAAGCAGTTTTGTGGATAGAGTTGTCCGCCATCCGTATCTGCCAGTATCCGGACCGCAGATCCAGTTTGGAAAATACCGTAGCTCCCCGAAGCTGGTCAAGCAGGTCATCGATTCGCGGTATCGGATATTTATTCTTGATGGTCTGCTTGTTAAGAGCTCGGTAGTCGATGCACATGCGCAGGCTTCCGTCCGGTTTCGGGTGAAGAGTACTGGGGCACCGTATGGCGAAGTAGATGGTCGGATGAGTCCTTTGGCTAGGAGATACTCGATCTGCTTCTTCATGTCGGTCAGCTCCGTAGGGCTGAGCCGGTATGGTGCTCGGAAGGTCGGCTTCGAACCCGGTTCCTCCACGATCTCGTGTTTATGCGTTCGGTATGGCGGTAGCTCGTTCGGAAGATCGTCAGGAAGAATGTCTTGGAACTCCGTCAATAATTCCTTGATTTTTTCTGGAGTTTCCGAGGCTTTCTCTCCGTCATTCTCCAACTCTGTTGCTATCGCCAGGAACCCGGTGTCGGTCCGCTTCACGTCCTTCTCGAATCGTGCGAGTGTCTCCACTGGGATATCTCCAGTATCGTCCCAGTTGGGTAGCTGTATTCTCCGTCCATTGTTGTAGATGCTTGCGGTGCGGTTCACCCAGTTGATCTCGGGGTTGAATCTTTTCAGGAAGTCTCGCCCGAAGATCAAGTCAAGCCCTTTGATGTTGGTGATGGGGAGTGCAGGTCTCCAGCGCAATGGTCCAATTTGTAAGTGTAGCACTGCTTCGCCGTGTACTGGTAACTTGCTGCCGTCCACCATCGTTGCAGAGAATCCTGAAGGCTTGTACTCTTCTCGAAGTCGGTCGATTGTTGCCTTGTTGCAGACGGTGTGAGACGCTCCGCTGTCCACGAGTGCTTGGAGGCGTCGTCCTTTGCAGATGACCTCGAGCACGAGGGGCAGTCGTTGCTCGGAGTACCCGAAGATAGTTTCTTTGATTGGGTCATAGGGTACATCCAATACTCCGTACACACCTTTGTGTTGCTGTCTACTCCTGAGCTAGCAGCTGGCCGAGGCTGCTTGGAGAACGGCTCTTCTCCAGGGCCCGGAGTTTCCTTGATGACTGTGTGCGAATCTGGGTTTCAATCCACTCGAGTGCCGGCCCTCGCATCAGTGTCGCCGCGAGTCGTACACGTTGACCATCCCAGACTGGCGAGCTCCATCCGACGGCTGCGAAGTAGATCTCCATGCCGGCGATCCATCTGCAGACGTCGGAGTTTCGATCGCTCGATTGAACGGCTCAGGTGGGCGCGGTTTCGGAGCCTCGAGCAACTGCTGCGACTGCTGCGTCGTCGCCGTTGTCGTTTCGTGTTGCGCTCCGGCGAGTCGAGTTACTCGCTCGAACTCGTTTCACCACGCTTCGTGATCCGCTCGCATCTCCTCCTGAAGGGCTGCAATGCTCGCGAAGAGCTGCTGGGTAACTTCAGCGTTGTCGAAGTTTGCCATCCTATTCAAAACACGCGTGAGGGGGGTAATTCGAAAAAGCGCGGAGCTGGTGCTTACCAGAATCGGCGTTGAACTGGTCGCCCCCGGCGGTTTTTCGAGGCAGGTTTTCCCGCTGCTGCGGCTTTGTTGAGCGCGGCCGATTGAGAAAAGCTCTGATACCAAGTGTCACCAGATCGAATATGTCGAGGAAAGGTTGCACTATCGATCAGTACAAGGCGCTTTTATACTTCCAAAGTACATCAGGTAACCAGGTTTATCTTATCCCAAGGGAATAGACCCTTCTAGAAAATAGAATCACCCTGCGTATAGCCACGCGAGGCTATTGGTGTTAAGCGATTACGGCAGGATTACGCTAGATATAGCGCACCAGTTCATCCAGAGCCTGGCCGGTGATAAAAACGATAATAGCATGATAAACCAAAGGATAATGGAAAATGGAGATTAGGAAACTAAATGAGATGAGATAAAAAGAGGAATGAGATGGAAAGGGAATATGGAAAGGAGAAGAGAATGGAACGGGGTCGTACTCTCACAGGCAGAAGCAGCAGCCGCAGGGAGCCCAGGGGGAGCCGCAGCAGGGGACAGGGGACGGGCTCTTGGGCAGGGCACTACCGAGACAGGTGCACTTTGTCGTGAGGCGTTGGGAGAGGCTCACGCAGAGGGGAGGATGGGCGAGGGTGGGCTAGAGGGGTCGGTAGCAGGCGGGGGTACAGGAGAGACGGAGGGCGTGAGGGGAGTCGGGGCGGGAGGGAGAGAGGAGGTGTCGGAAGGGGCAGGGTGGCAGGGGGAGTGGGGGAGGGAGAGCGGGAGGGAGGAGAGGGAGGGTGAGAGGGGCAGTTGGGAGGGGGCACGACGACCAGAGGGGGGACATCAGGGGACCAGCCACAGCAGCAGCCCGTGCAGCAGCAGAGGCCAGCCATTCGCACGGGCCGCATAGGGGCACCCGCGCGCATCCCAGACCTCACTTGCAGGGCACTACGAGATGCTTTGATGGTGATTGTAGACGTCTCGGTGGCAGACCCGAAACGGGAGGGGAATGCGCAGTTCAAGCGGATGGCACCCACTCAGATTGGCAGCGTAGCAGCTAGATGGGTGCAGGATAAGCTGCGACACTGGAGGCCGGTGTTACAGGGTTTGCAGCCGGATGCAGAGTTCTATGCCTGCGTAGTGGAGACTGTTGGGTACTTGAGTGAGCCACTGCGGCAGTTCCTAGGGCTGTGTGCGTCGCGGATAGCACGGCGGAGGAGGGATTCAGGGCAGGGGATGACGGGTCGGCGCGGATATTTGAGACGAGCCTCACTATGCGTCTCTCTGTGGCACTGCACCGGGCGCAGGCAAATGTGACCATGCAGCATGCAGTGCGGTAGCTGGGTGGCTCCGACAATGGATGGATGCCAGCACCTGTACCTTTGGGTGCTGGGCAGGGGAGCTGGCACCACATCACAAGGTGCTTCGAGAGTGCAGCAGATATGCAGTATATGTATGATGCATATGTGTAGAAAAACATAAAAAAACATATATAGGCCGTGCTGGAGACGCTGTGCCCGCGCTGTGCGCGTGGGCTATTGCTTTGTCAGGTCCCATGATGTCCCTCTGATATAGTCACACCCCCCCTCCCTCCTTCCCCTCTCCTCTTTCTCTCCTCCTTCTTGCTCTCTTCTCCCCCACTCTTTCTACTACCTTTTTCCTTCCGCTACCTCCTCTTTCTTTCCTTCTCTCTCTCTTCTCTCTCTCTTCTTCTCTTCTAGACCTCTTAACGCTACTATGTCATAATAGCGCAACGCTCATGCCGAAAATCTCATCTTCGGTCTTAGAATTGCTATATGACTTGTAACCCTCGTCGTTATTAATGAGAGCACACATAGATGCATCCATCCAATCAAAAGAACAGCACCACCTCGTCATACGCCTCCATCCGCTGCCAGTTCCCGCCGAACGCCCAGCTCTCGTACCCGCCATACCCTGTATTAGCAACCTCAAACGGGCCCGTCTTGTAGTACACCGTAAGTTCGGAGTTATCCCAGAAGTGCCACACCTCAACGCCGGCGGAATCCGGGCCGCCTTCCATGGTGTGGCTGCACTTTATCACCATCACGTTGTACCCCGCGTTCATAAAAATCTCCGCTATCTTCTGAGTCACCTCGTTGTCATCTGGACCGTCGATCGTGCCCAGGCTCCCTGTAATGACCTGATCAATGGTCACCCCCTCCTTGCTGAACAGCTTTCGCTCCGCCCTGTGCGGAGATCCCAAGGTCGATCCGGAGGCAGATCCGGATGCGGAGGCGAGAATACTGTTGTCAACGGTGCGTGTTGCGGTGAAGCGTGATGTCTCAGGCTGCAGCATGGGCCGTGCTGCACTGGCGCTGGTGACGGCAAGGAGCACGAGGAGGTCGAGAGGCATCAGCTGGCAAGCTGCGTACAGCCACGCGTTAGCGGCCATTGCGAAGCTGGCTTGTTGAGGTTTCTAGGAAGTTCCAAGTGTGAAAATTAGACGGAGGTTCTAGAAGTCGTGCGCTGATTGGTGAGTCAGGTTCGATCGAATGAGAAAAATGCTGATGAACCCTGACTGTATGGGAGAAGCTATTGCTGAAGCTGTGATGGCATGGGGAACCATGGATGTCAAATTTGCAGATTTCCGTGTTCAACTTAATGCCGACAAGGGAAGGCAGGTCGAAAGCTGCTGGAGCCGCCATAGCCAGCGTTTGCTAGAACAGTGTTCTTCGAACTCAATCGCGCGAGGGACACGGGTGGACTTCCTGCCTTAAACGGAAGGTCCAAGTGTGAGAGGTAAGCAAAGGCCAGCAAAATTTGGTCTGCAGTGAGTGCGTGCAACAAGACCAAGCACGCTCGAGCAGCTCGTCGTTCCTGTATCCTTGTAAAGATCCACCGTATGAAAGACATGTGGCGTCGCTGGCGAGATCGTGGGTTCAATCGCTCGGGAGCTGGTCGACCGCGGGGAGTGCCGGCGTGGTACAACATATTCGATGAGTTGCTTGGGGAGCGGTTGTCAGCAAACGCCGAGGTGCTCGCGGGAAGCATCCCCACGACCAACGAGTCGGCGTGATTCCTGCGTAAAAACACTTGGGCTGTACCCCAAGGAAATCAGACCGGCCTAGGTGAGTTCATATATACGGCAGCACGGGGCCAAGCCCTTGCATGCGTCATTGCATCAATCAATTAACGAACCACCACCATACAAGTGAAAGCAACTGTCCTCCTACTGGTTTCCATTGAAAGAATTACAAAGGTGGTGCAGGAGACTAAGTATAGAATCTGCAGACACAAGTACTTGAAGTAGAAAGTAATACTGGAAGTACCTCCAGTAACAGCCAGTATTAGCAAGTTGTAACACCAGAGTCTGTGTTGCAGCCTTGCGATACTTCAAGACTTAACCAAGGATCTTTGCTGGTATAGTAGACTAGAAAGACAGCGGAAGTCTTAGAACTTGTAAAGTGTTGACCAGAATTTTACTGAAGAACAAGTTAACAATTGAAGTTGTACCAGCTACTTTTATATGTGCTAAATGTACCTATTCGCTGATGGACCTGTTCGAGCTATTTGCGCTATGCGCTCTGAACGCTACTGAAAAGAGCACGACTGTTCGCGTGACTGAAACGGCTTGCTGACGTAACCATCCAGATGAGCGCTATTTGCTGACATCATTCTACGGATGCTAACTACAGTGTAACTCGACAATATCTATCCGAACTACTTACATAAATGCTCAAGTATGATTTTATCACAACACTCCCCTTCATTTCTGGAAGTTCGATAGTGTCACTTCTTGATGATTCCGCAGAGCTCGTTGCAGTATTGGAACTTCTGACGTGTCAGCTTCTAGGTGAGAAAATCTGCAGCCATTTCATTGGTCGAAT